GTCCATCAAAGTCAAGGGAACGTCTTTCTGCGTTGATATGCGAGCGTTCCCCGCACAATTGCGGCTTCGGCTGATATCACTTATCTCGACCTTGATTATTCCGGATATCACAAAAACCTCATCCAATAATTGTTTATTAGTTGTCGTCGTCAGTGTATTGTGTTGTCGTGTTTTGTTTCAGCGAATGCCTAGTTAAAGTGCGCATTTACTCTGAAGTATGAAATTCGACTACAGAATGAATTAATAAGGCATATAGCAAAACTTTTCTACATTTCTTTTCGCTTATTGTCGCCATTGCAATTATTGTGATGCTTTATTTTGAGAAACCAGTAATTTTGCACACCGACCAAAAGTGACAGATATTACAGCGCTTAAACTGCCTATACATGGAGGTCTTGATGTGCTAATAAGAAGTTCTGACAAACAAAATTGCTTAAGGCGACTTTTTTTTTTCATCCGTCCACTGATTTGCAAATGCTCACATGTACAAAACAAGATAAAATGCAAATCACTCAGATCTTACCTTGTCAGTCAATCAGGTTTACTCGCCTATGGATTAATCGTGAATGACACCACTGTCAGAAGTCACAGTTTCAATTACACATCATTAGTAAAAGCCCTGGAGCTATAAGTCTGGCGTCTGAGAAGGCTTGTCAGTGTAAGTAGCGTCTTTTGTTCGTGATGAGGAAAAAAAATATTGTTTTTAAAGAAAAAGAAAAAAAAACCTTCCTACGGTGAAATGAACTCACGCAAGCCATATCCCAGTAATGATTTAAGCCGTCCAGTTTATTTTTTTTTTCTGCCACCAAGCTTCATGCACAAATCACACAAAGCATTTTATTGCCGAATGATTTCCCCCTCCCTGCGGATTCAATGTTGACTCTCATAATTTTCTAAATCTTGAGCAAGCCTTTTTAAGGAGTCAATAGCCATGACGACTCAAATGAAAGAAGATAACTTGGACTGAAGATCATGAATTAAACCAGAAACCCTATCGACATGGAGTACATTTGCGTATTTAACTATGAACCACCAGATCTTAATGCATGAGCTATTCGGGAGTTCTGAACTCTTTACAACTCCAGTAAAGTCATCAATAAATTTACCACAGCAGAGCCAAATTTGTAATAGGCTAGACAGATCGGCAACAAGCTTTCATATACTTAGACTTGTTGAAATATTTATTAGAATGAGTTGTATGAGATTTGCATACAGCAGACAACATTTAGGCCTAAATAGCGCTCGGGACAGCTTGAATATCATTCAGGTTAGCCTAAATATCGCTCAAGTTAAGCGTTTTAACAGCTTTCACTAATGTAATGGAAATGGGAATATGATGTTAGTTTAAAATGTCTGCAGCCTGTGGTCTGTAGTGTGCAGTCCTGCAAATGTCAAATCTAAAGTCCGTTACTGATTCAATGGTATGCAGCCCCACGGATTCTTGCAAATGTGGCACTTCACTTCAAAAAATTCCAACTCCGCAAGTAAGCACTTGGAAAATAAAGGAAAATGTCGTAAAGAAGTTCGCAATTGATTGAAATAAAATATTTCAAGCGTATAATTCATATTGTCTCTTCAAAAACAAGGAGACAGCACGTAACAACGAGGCTGCTGAAACAATGATCTTCAGTCACAAAAAATGAACAGTCACAAGATGTTGAAAAATGCAAAGGTGGTGCCGAAGACAATGATTGATTTACGAATGATGAAAGTCAAAAGTACGATAAAAAATGAGCTCGCAAATAGTCTTGGGAATGCTTGCGAATGCTTGCGAAAGAGCAGTGCTCAATTTCCTGTGGATTCGTGTTAAGATCCACTCACACATGGACAGTTTGTGAAAGGCCCGTATGATAGAGGTTGCAAGCTCAAATAAATACATCAAGTCATAAGTAGGCGATAAACATTTGAACAACCACAGCATGTATGGTAGAAAACCCCTCCTACTACAACAATACTGAGCGTACTGAATGATTTGCTCTTACCGTGTTACTGATAGAGTCTGTAGGAGCCCACATGATACTGGCATGCCGAAAGTGAGATCCTTCCACTGGCGGTAACCATTGGAGAATCAGAATAGTAAGAAGATAAGCTGATATCCTGCAGTCCATCCTTTCATCGAAGTGCAATTGTTCTGGAGGGTTCCAAGAATGTGTTGCGATATGTCGCGTTTCGACGATTTTGTGATTGGCAGCGTGCCTTAGTTGGTAGTCAAAAGAAAGTAATTTCATCAGTCGTTGCTTCGCACTGATAGCATTTGTCTTCACCGACCCACGAAACATGGTGTCACAATTGATATTGACAGCGGATCCTTCAATAGCGTCGGGCACAGTTTCTATAAAAATTTACATCACCAGAGACCCCCACAGGACTCAGACAAGAATTATAGTCCGGTAGAAGGTTTTTCTATGAGGGCGTTGTCTTCTAAACCAGAAAATCACACAAAAAAGGAAAGATTGGTGGTCGAGATCTAGGTTTTTGATTAACTTAAACATTGCTAGAAAGCAAACACTGCTGCCGTGGGTAATGTAAAACCGATTCAAGAAGTTCAGAAAAGAGCCTAAAAATTCGACGAGGATCTTACAAAGCCGCAATGACAGTCTAACCGATCCCAAAACCTTCAGGAACTGGAAGTCAAAACTTTTTGCGCAGTAACTGCGTCTAGGCGATCAGAATACTTAACAGAGAAACGCATTACGAAGGAACTTATCTGCTGTTTATCAAGGTCTTGAAGAGAAGACTTGTTGCCAGAAATATCCAAAGTTGACAACCCGTAGCATCCACTCAAACGAATGCGGTCGATAGACCATGCAAGAGGACATAATTTTCAAACTAAGGATCCCTGAGACAATTACAAGTGCACGGCAGAATAAGTGTACTATGCAATGTAATAGAACCATATATCCGACCACAGAAACAAATCTGTGACTGTGGTAAGATCGTAACTGCAAATATTTCATTGATATATTTGCCGCGTGGACAGCAATAATTATCAAGGCAATATTTTCCTGTGGATGACATTTCCTTGTTTTATTGACAGCGTGACAATAAATACCGCGACAGGTAAAAGTTTACACCACAAAGAAAAAGTTCATTTGTGAAAATGTACTGTAAGCGCTAGCAGTTATCTTTGCAACGGGGCGCTCAATGCAAAGAAAAAAAAACACTCTTTTGTCGGTCTCTTTTATTAAGGTGGCAGTGGATGCGATTGGATATTATGTCTCTAAGCTTCTTGTACTTACTTTTATGAGCAAAACCGCACTTTAAATGTCACCGCACGGTTTTAAGCTTCTTTAGTCTTCTAGTTGTAATCAGTTTCGCACATAATTTTTTCGGTTACGAAACGTTTCATACTTTCGTGTTTTTTTTTTACCTGTTTCAATTGTTCTGTATAGCGTTCCCTGCAGTTAATTTGTTTTAGTTGTCGTCGTCAGCGTACTGTGTTGTCCCACTTTGTTTCAGCGAATGCCCAGTAAAAGTGCTCATTTACTTTGAAGTATGAAATTCGACTACAGGATGAATTTATAAGGCATGTAGCAAAACCTTTTTACATATTTCTTCTCGCTTATTGTCGTCCTTGCAATTATTGTGATGCCTTATTTTGTGAACCAGTAATTTTGCACACCGGCCAAAAGTGGCAGATAATACAGCGCTTAAACTACCTATACATGGAGGTCTTGATGTCCTAAGAGAAGTTATGACAAGCAAAATTGTTGCAGCCGACTTTTGTTTTTTATTTTTTTATTTTTTTATTTTTTTCATCAGTCAATTGATTTGCAAATGTTCACATGAACAACATAAGGTAAAATGCACATCACTCAGATCTTATCTTGCCAGTCAATCTGGTTTACTCACCTATGGATTTATCCTGAATGACACCATTGTTAGAAGAATGGAAGACACAGCTCTCAATTACATATTATTAGTAAACTCCCGGTAACGAGCAGTGCAAGCCCTGGAGCTATAAGTCTAGCGTCTGAGAAGGTTTGTCAGTGTAAGTGGCGTCTTTTGTTTATAATGAGGGAAAAAAACAATTATTGTTATTAAAAAGAAAAAAGAAAAAGAAAACAAAAAAGAAAAAAAAAACCTTTTTAAGGTAAAATGAACTCACGCAAGCCACATCCCGATAATGATTCAAGCCGTCCAGTTTATTTTGTTTTTCTGCCACCAAGCTTCATGCGCAAATCACACAAAGCATTTTATTGCCTAATGAGTTCCCCCTCCCTGCGGATTCAATGTTGACTCTCATAATTTTCTAAATCCTGAGCAAGCCTTTTTAAAGAGGCAATAACCATGACGACTCAAATGAAAGAAGATAATTAACTTGGACTGAAGTCATGAATTAAACGACAAATCCCATCGCGACACGGAGTGCATTTGCGTATATAACTATGAACCACCAGATCCTAATGCATGAGCCATTCGGGATTTCTGAACTCTTTACAACTTTAGTAAAGTCATCAATAAATTTACCACAGCAGAGCCAAATTTGTAAAGGGCTAGACTGATCGGCAACAAGCTTTCATAAACTTTGACTTGTTGAAATATTTATTAGGATACGTTGTACGACATTTGCATACTCCAAACAACATTTAGGCCTAAAAAGCGCTTTTGATCGCTTGAATATCATTCAGGTTAGCCTAAATATCGCTCGCGTTAGGCTTTTTATTAGCTTTCGGTAATATAATCGAAATGGGGATATGATAGTAGTCAAAAATGTCTGCAGTCTGCGGTCTGTAGTGTGCAGTCCTGCAAATGTCAAATACGGATTAAAATATAACTAAATGAATTTGTCAATTAAAGTTTTACTATAACGAACATGATGTTGCCCTTTATTCACTCAAAAGAGGCGCGGTTGCCTCATATATTTGTGCGCTCGAATACGGATCTAGCTGTCCCGGTTCGATCCCTCGCCGGGGACATTGTGTTGTGTTCTTAGGCAAGATACTTAACTCTCAATGTGCCTTTCAAATGCGTACCGGTGAATTTAGTGCTAGGGTAACCCTGCAAGGTACTAGCATCTCATCCAGGCTATAGTATAAATACTTCTAATCACCTCATGATACAAAACCCGGAGATAAGTGCCGGCCTGATGGGCAACTTGGCTCACATGCAGACTTAAAATCGACTGAAGAAGTCTTAGATCTTTGATCTAAACTTCAGTTCCATGTTAAAATTCATGTTAACAGTGTTCAATGCGCTTAGCAACACCAAGCTACTTCTCAGGCATGCCACTTAAACTAAAACTGAACAAACATGTTAACACTGAAAGCATCAATCAAACATCAACTATCATCGAAATAATTAGAATATAAAATTATAGCATGGAACATTCTTGGCTCCTTACTAGTGACCATTAGATTGGACGACGAGCACGAGATTGAGTACGAGCACGATTTTCAAATTTCAAACCAGTGACGTTTCCTAAGCCCTTGCTGTTCATGCTGGTTTTAGGTAGAGAGGTATATTGTAGCTCATGGGTTGAGATGGGTGCTTGATCATGTGGAGTGTGAAAACTAGAATTGAAACGTCGTTCTCGTACTCGATTTCGTACTCGAACTCAAATCTAAAGTCCCTTACTGATCCAATGGTATGCAGCCCCGCAGATTCTTGCAAATGTGGCACTTTAAAAAAAAAATTCACTTCAAAAAATTCTAACTCCGCGAGTAAGCACTTGGGAAATAAGGGAAAATGTCGTAAAGGATTTCGCAATTGATTGAAATAAAATATTTCAAGCGTATAATTCATATTGTCTCTTCAAAAACAAGGAGGCAGCACGTAACAACGAGGCTGCTTGAACAATGATCTTCAGTCACAAAAAGTGAACAGTCACAAGATGTTGAAAAATGCAAAGGTGGTGCCGAAGACAATGATTGATTTACGAATGATGAAAGTCAAAAGTACGATAAAAAGGAAATGAGCTCGCAAATGGTCTTGGGAATGCTCACAAAAGAGCAGCGCTCAATTTCCTGTGGATTCGTGTTAAGATGCATTCATACATGGACAGTTTGTGAAAGGCCCGTATGATAGCAGTTGAAAACTCAAATAAATACATCAAGTCATAAGTAGGCGATAAACATTTGAACAACCACAACATGTATGGTAGAAAACCCCTCCTACTACAACAATACTGAGCGTGCTGAATGATTTGCTCTTACCGTGTTACTGCTAGAGTCTGTAGGAGCCCACATGATACTGGCATGCCGAAAGTGAGATCCTTCCACTGGCGGTAACCATTGGAGAATCAGAAGAGTAAGAAGAAAAACCGACATCCTGCAATCCATCCTTTCGATCGATCGAAGTGCTCTTGTTCTGGAGGGACCAAGGAAAGTATTACGATGTGTCGAGCTTCGACGATTTTGTGATTGGCAGCGTACCTTAGTTGGTAGTCAAAAGAAAGCAATTTCATCAGTGGTTACTTCACACTGATAGCATTTGTCTTCACCGACCCACGAAACATGGTGTCACAATTGGTATTGAGAGCAGATCCTTCAATAGCGTCAGGCACAGTTTCTAAAAACAGATTACATCACCAGAGACTCCTACATGACTCAGACAAGAATTATAGTCCGGTAGAAGGTTTTGTATGAGCGCGTTGTCTCTTAACCAGAAAATCAGGCAAAAATGGAAAGATTGGTGGTCGAGATCTAGGTTTTTGATTAACTTAAACAATGCTAGAAAGCAAACACTGCTGCCGTAGGTAATGCAATACGGTTTCAAGGAGTCCAGAAAAGAGCCTAAATATCATAAATTGCACAAGGATCTTACAAAGACAGTTTGACAGATTCTAAAACCCTCAGGAATTGAAAGTCAAAAACTTTTAACGACGTGGTTGCGTCTAGCCGATCAGAATACTGGACACAGAAACGCATTACGAAGGAACTTATCTGCTGTTTATTAAGGTCTTAAAGAAATGACTTGAAGCCAGAAATATTCAAAGTTGACAACCCGAGCCGTCCACTCAAACGAATGCGATAGACCGTGCAAGAGGACATAATTTTCATAATAAGGATCCCTGAGACAATTCCCAGTGTATGGCAGAATAAGTGCACTATGCAATTTAATAGAGCCATATATCCGACCACATAAACAAATCTGTGACTGTGATAAGATCGCAACTGCATATATTTCATAGATATATCTGCCTCGATACGTATAATATGTGTAATACAAATAGCGGGGGCTAAATTGTTTCAGTATATATGCATAGACAGAGCGGACCAGTTTCATTACGACAAGGCTACGAATCGGATCAGATTTACGGTATTTCTTTCATTTCTTTTCTGGCTTACTGGCTTTCTCGTAAGTAATTCACCAGAATGTCGGGCACAATGACTATGCCATGGACTTAAGGATAGTATTCAAAGGCAGCCTTCAGGACTAAGTGAGAAGGGCATTATATTTTTCCGCCCTCATTCAAACTCTGGATTATTATTATTCCAAGGTGCACGTAGTGGTTTTTCTCTAACATTTTGAGCTAGAGAGACTGTCGAATTTCGAAATTAATGGCCCAGTATGGCACTGAAGCGCTCACGGGAGCCGTTGCTTCATACATCGCTTTCAAAGAAGTAACCCATGGAATATTTTTTTGTTTTTGTATGAGACACACCGAGGGTTCAATTTTCGTGACGTCATTAGTGCGCGACGCTATGTTAATAGCGTTTCTTAAAAGAAACTTTCGTAGAAGGCGAGCGAAATCTACAGAAATTTGAACTTGTCGCCCGAGCGGCAAGAAAATTTGGTGATCGGTGTTAAAGACAAGGATTTTTTACTTAGGCAGAGGGATTATCATTTCAGAAAGCGATGGAGTCGAAACCACACTGAGTCAGCAGCAAAAATCCTTGGAAAACGAATAAAACAAATGCACTGTAGAAAAGGTGCACAAGTTCACACGAGTTCAAACCAGAGGGCAAGAAGCCAAATTCTTCCTTTAACCAGAAGAGAAAACCAGAGATTTTTAAGATAAACCAGGGAAAGGAAAAAGGAGGGAAGGTGCAAGATGATTGTGGCAATCAGATGCACTGCAAAACACGAGGCTTTCCTGCTTATGGTCAGGGGTGCCTCAAACGTAATAAAAGTAATCAGTTCGCGTCATATTGCAACGCAAAACGGTCGTCTCCAATCAATGTTGTCTCAGACGAAGATGATCAACTCTGGCTATCTTTCAGTGCTTCAAGTGGAAAACGTGTTGACCCTAGCTGGTAAAGGAAGGCAAGTTCTTACCGAGTCAACTTTCCCTATAGTGGACGCCGACCACGTTAACTGGTACAAGAAATCCATGGCTTTCCAGCTGGACACTTGAGCCTCGCACGTGATCAATTAACTAGACCTCTCAATTCATTTACAGAACGGAATGCCTAAATTAGGACAGAGCTCAGAGTTCAGTCAAGCTCAAAATGCACGATGGCACAATCAAGAGACCCACAGGACAGAAGAGGCGTGTCTAATAGCGATACACAATGGTAGTTTTAATTAGTAGATCGCATTAACAAGCCCCTCTTGTCAGCTCATCAGAGACTTAAACAAAGCCTTAAAGCGACAAATGTACCAAATGCCCAGATTGGAAGACAAGCTTCCCTGACTAGCAAAGGCAGAGGTATTTTCCACGCTGGATTCAAAAGGCGTTAATCAGATCGGTCTTAACGAGGAAAGTAGCATGGAAACCATCTTCTGGACCCCTGGTACTTGAGAATGTCATTTGGAGCAGGCCTGGCGCCAGACGAATTGAATGCAAGCTCCATGAGACGTTAGATGAACCTCCAGGAGAAGTCGTTTTGCGAGATGATGTATTAGTCGTGTGACAAGGAGAGATGATAAGACCATGACAGCGGCCTGACCAGGCTTCCCAAAGAGCAACAGAAACAAACCTGAAGCTGAACAAGTTCAAACTTAAGCTCAGACAGCCAGAAGTAAAATTCGTGGGGCGTGCCATTCACTAACCAAGGTTTAAAACCGAATCCAGAAAACGTGAAAGCTGTGGAGGAAATGTCTGGTCGTGCCTGAAAGGAAGAACTGGTGACCCCTCTGGGCTTCCTTTAAATGTCTGCTGAAATTTCTGCCTCGGCTTACAGAGGTAACTCAACCATTACCTGAACTCTCAGCCAAAGAAGCACAACTCCTCTAGCTGGTCACGTCCCCCAACGCGAGTCCGCATTCGCCGACATCACACACGAAGTGATCATATCAGTTAAGAGTGCTGTCATTTTAAGGTGTCTCAAAACAGTTTCCAGCACTTAGATTTTTATGGGTCATTGTAACCACTCTTTATCAGTTGATGCTACAATCATGGTATCAAAAAACTGCCCAATCATAGGTGAACACGTTGTTATCATTTTCGCGATGCAATAGGTTACCATAGCAACAGTATGACCTCCTAAAAACACCCTTAATTACAGCTTTAGGGGCTTATAATTCAACAACGGCACCGTGGAATTTTTTTAAATCATCAACTTTTGATAAGCATGATAAGACGCCTCTAGGGTGTAGAGATCCCTTGTTAGCTCTGCTCGATTATCAAAACACCTCCACGGAAGGTATGAAAGCCAGTCCTGCTGCCGTAGAACACGAACATTGTTTCCAGCCGCGACCAGCCTTCTCCATCCGAAGGTTGTAAATGGAGTTGATGAGCAAATCAAACAGAAGTGCGATCGTGATCGCACACTTAAAATACTGCCAGAAATAGAAGTTGTACAGGAAGTAAGGACTGCCCCTGTGGAGCAGAGCAAGCCACGGAAGAGCACAAAGTGCGTGCCTAAGCCCTCTAACCGTTCTTACCCGGGAAAGACGTCGAAAGAAACGGTACGTAGGAACCGACAAAGTTTTACACCGCCTAGCTGTCTGCGATGTTTGCACCCAATATCACTCTCGGATTCTCTTGAAGAACTTACGCAAGCCTCATTTGGAGCTGCAAATGCTACATCACCTGCCGTACAACAATCCGCTATCAAGCCTCAGAGTGTCACCTGTTCATAAGAGAAGACACCTGCTGCAGACCTCCCTCGCTATACCAGGACTTAATCAAGACCTAACACCGACTCTTAAGTGTTGATCGCTTTTATCCAGATGCTTGCATTTTTTTTTTTTTTTNGGCTAGACTGATCGGCAACAAGCTTTCATAAACTTTGACTTGTTGAAATATTTATTAGGATACGTTGTACGACATTTGCATACTCCAAACAACATTTAGGCCTAAAAAGCGCTTTTGATCGCTTGAATATCATTCAGGTTAGCCTAAATATCGCTCGCGTTAGGCTTTTTATTAGCTTTCGGTAATATAAT